AGTGAGCGCGCTGTGATTGATCAGTTTAGCAGGCCGTATTCTACTGTACGGCCAACTACAATTTAAAGTTCCTTTCGTTGCTAAAATGTTTCATGATTTATCGCCAAGTGTTAACTATTTTAGCAAGTAAAAATTTAAAACTTTCTTTTACTTCTGAATTTGAGTATTAAAACCTGACCGGCCGACGACTAAGAGTCAAACAGCGATTTCAAATTGACTCGTTTTGCTTGCGAGGTGCGTCAGAAATTTGAAGCCGTTCCATGTGATTAGAAATCGTTCCCGAGCCCGTCAGACACACAGTAGAGATATAATAAATATCTTACTAACCTCCTTTTCTCGGTCCGTACTCTAAGTTACGGTTCCTCGTTTTTCCCCTTCGATTTATGGATGGCCCGCGCGCTTCGCGCTTGGGTCATAAATCGATGGGGAAAAAAATTCGGTCCGTAAATTACGGTACGGACCTCGAACTCGGTTAGTAAGAGGTATATATATATTTTTTAATATCATGAGCTATAACTTAAAGAATGCCAGAAATGGAAAGAGCATATCGAATGCTCTTTCCATTTCTGGCATTCTTTAGCAAGATGGTCAAGTTTGAGGCCCTTAACCTTAAAGAGCAAGTTTATACGACTCTCTGAATTTTCGGATAATTTAGCTGGAGAGGATTTCTATGGAAAATGTTGCTGGAGAGCTGGGTCTTCTTCTCCAACAACTTTTTCCATACAAATCTTCTTAAAAGTTCGGACCGTCTCAAAATCTTATTCTTTAGTGCCAGGGGGTTTAAACTTGGCCATTGTGATATTTTCGACATGCTTTTTCCATTTCTGACATTCTGTAAGTTATAACCCATAAGTTGTGAAATGTAGGTCGCGTGATAGCCTAGCTGCAAAGGGTCTTTTTACAATAACTTTCTAATTTCTCGCGCGCTGATTGGCTCATTTTTATTATCAATAAGAGTACAGACGGATAAAATTTTAATTGATGCAAGCTTTTAAGGTCAGCTTTCAGTTGTCAAACTGTCAACTTTTTAACCAATGAGATTTTATGGACTTTTTTATGTAACCAATCAAAAAGCGAGAGAAGCTACTGACAATGTTCGCGTCATTTTGAATAAAATTTACTTATCTTTGTTTACAACAAGTTTACGGCGTCTTTTCCCCTCATTTATTCCCGGCATTTGTCCATTTCGGGGTCTTGTTATTGTGAAAAACAAATTGACGTCAGTTTTTTTATGCGTCTGTCCTCTTATTAATGATAAATTTCGTCATAACATTGTCAAAGTTTACTGCGGAACCACGCGCCTACGGCTCGTGGTTCCACAGCCAATTTGACAATGTTATGACGCAATTTGTCATCAATAAGAGGACAGACGCATAAAAAACTGATGTCAATTTGTTAAATTGAGTCTAGAAGAATGCACGTTACTACTGACATGACTTTTTATTTACATTCACTTTTAGTTGACGCCCAGCGGTAATCAATTACAGTTTACTGTACTTTTACATATATTGAACATTTTCAGGACTGATAAAGTAAAATGTATTATTTATTCTACAGGCTGCTACCAGCACACCAGACAGATGGATCAACAGGCTCTCTAAATAAGGAGAACAACATGGTGCGTCCGCTTCGCTTCCAAGAAATCCTTTATATCCTATTCAACGGGTTTAGTATTCTTCTCTATTGCTTTCATGTGCACAATCAGGAGCCCACTACAGAGTGGAATTTGTCATGCTTTTAAAAACAAAACAATTTTCCAAGCCATTTTTCCTGAATCAGAACTCCAAAACACTTCAAAGAGGAACGAACAATCATTACAACATCCCAAGAGGGTCAATATCATCACAATGTCCTTTCCAAGATCGGGATCTTCATTTCTGGGCAAAATTTTCAATCAGCACCCAGGAGTTTTCTACCTTTTTGAGCCATTACATACTGTGCAAAAAAGGTTTAACCCAACATTCCGGTCTCGAGTTTGATTATTTATCCCCATCTTACCAAACGAAGGCATTTACATGGTGAACTGATGATATGATGAACTGAAAGTTTACCAGTGGCGTCTTTATCCGTCACCTTCTCCCGGAATATCGCAAACGTACCATTGCTCTAAGCTCTCCTCCATTTTGTGACAAAAATGGAAAATCTGCTACTGTATGCCACACGTTAACATCACAAAAACTTGAAACTGTCTGTAAGGATAATTATAGTGTATTTGCTGCGAAAATACTTTCTCCTAGAAAATCAATTTCTCGTGATGAGTGGAACAATAACTTTTTGCAAAGTTGTTCTTCCAACGGAGCGAGTGAATGTAAAATAATTCATTTGGTCAGAGATCCAAGAGCAGTTGTTGAGTCTTCGAGATCTCTGAATTTTTTCAGGCAATCAACTGATCCTAGACGTGAATTATCATAGTATGCGAGAAAAATTTGCCGTCAAATGGAGATTGATTTAAAAATTGGGAAGTTCATTAGAACATTTTTACCTGATGGGTACAAGTTAATCCGGTTTGAAGTTGTCGCTCTGAATCCATTGCCGGTAGTGAGTGGATTGTACAATTTCACAGGAATTGAAATGGTGGATGCTATCAAGAAATGGCTACACGAGGCAACAACATCACAAAATGGAGGTCCTTACAGCACCAGTCGTGACTCAAAGCAAGTTGTTTCTAATTGGAAGACAGCAATGAGCCATGGGAATGTGCAGATTGTTTAAAACCTCTGCGGACAAGTGATGAAATTGAATTATACAATAACCGGCACATAGTTGGAGAAGCAATCTAATCTGAATATTTCGTTGATCGCTGGAAAGTCGCATTTACCATAAGTTAGTCTATTCCGTTGCTGGGAAATTCTTTCAGCGCTATGGAAAAGTTACGGTCTACTAATCTACTAATTTTAGAATTTTTTCAATCTTTAACTGCGGTCAGGCAACGAGTTTGCTTACGTAAAGAAGCGTTTCAAAGATATACCGTGTGAAAAACATCTTTAATTTGAAAAACGCTGTGAAAGATACCCAGCATGGTCTCCATGCAGGCTTTTAGTTAGAAATATTTAATGATGAGTCAAGGGATGCTAGCCATTTTGTCATATTTTGTATAAGTGGGTCTGTTACATTTATTTAATAATTCCAAATGTTACCATTTATTTTTGTATATACCCTAACACATTTGATGTTTGATTAAAATGGAGTTAGTATTTAGTATTGCATGCAAATCCTCTTGTGTAAAAGAGTTCTCTGGTTAAGAATCTGAAAAGTCGTTGAGCTCTCGGTTTCCAGTCTAAACCCTTATTGAAGGCCTTAGCCGAATAATCAAAACACTCTGCCACGCCTCCTGTTACAGCCCGTTATACCCGCACGGGTAGACTAAGTTGAGGGTTGGTTTAAGGGTTGGTTTTAGCTTTCTTTTCGCACGCTAAACCCACGCTGGATATTAGCAGAATACGAGTAGAGCTTATATTGATTAAATATTTGAACTACGGAGAGAGCTTTAAAGACACCATGTAAATGATCATCACTTTTCTTGATCTTTACACAACTTTACCAGGTGTGAAAATAAAGCCTGAAAAAAGTTAGGCTTGAACGGGATGCAAACCCATGACCTACATGTACTAGTATGCGATACCGCTGTTGTACCCTATCGACTGAGCTAGCTCTATCAAGCCAACTTGGACCTGGTCAAATTGGGAATTGGCAATATGACTGCTGCCGGAGAAAGGAAAAAAAAGACATCAAAGGTCATCGCAACTATGTACACAACTTCACCAGTTGTGAAATTAAAGCCTGAAAAAAAACATAAATAATAATAAAAAAACAGACTTAAACGGGATTCGAATCCATGCTGTGGTCTTGAAAACAACTGGGAGCAGGAGCCCGTTTCTCGAAAGCCCCGGAAACTTTTCGGGCCCGAAAAGCCATTTTTAGTTCATCTGTATCTAAAAACGGAGAGGTGTATACGCCTGAAACTTCTTGTATGAAGGGAACCTGTGTTCATATTAAGAATACGTGAATAAAACAGTTCTGTAATCATAAGCTTCGAGATTTTGCTATGGCTTTCTGGGTGCGAAAACTTTTGGGGACCTTCGAGAAACGGGCCCCTGGTCACGTTATGAGTTCGTAATATACCCGTAGATGGTAAAGATTTAGGTGAATATATGAAAGATCATATATTTGAACTGGGGAAAAAGATATGAAGACATGATTGACCATCGAAGATATACACACAACTTAAGCAGCTGTAAAATTAAAGCCTGAAAAAAATTTAGGCTTGTGTAAAATTTGAAACCGTAACCTCTGCGATACCGGTGCAGTGCTCTACCAACTGAGCTATTAAGCCAATTGCAACTGGGAGCAGGTGACGTTATGAGTTCGTAATATACCCATAGATGGTGGAGATATAAGTGAATATATGAAAGATCATATATTTGAACTGGGGAGAAAGATATGAAGACATGACTGATCACCGCAGTTGTACACAGAACTTAAGCAGCTGTGAAATTAAAGATTGAAAAAAATTCAGGTTTGAGCGGTATTCGAACCCATGACCTCTGCGATACCGGTGCAGTGCTCTACCAACTGAGCTATCAAGCCAACTGGGAGCACGTCACGTTATGAGTTCGTAATATACCCGTAGATGGTGAAGACACAAGTGAATATTATATGAAAGATCATATGTTTGAACTGTGGAGATAGATTTAAAGGCACGAATCACAGTTATGTACACAACTTAACCAGTTGTTCAAATCCCATTCTCAAGTTCTCGTCGTCCACTTGTACTAAAAATTAGCATGTTTAGAAATACTGGTTCACACACTCTTTCGTGTATCTACATACATCATTAGATTATATTAATCACTGGCTGTCCTTGTGTGGAATTGGATCTACACGCTGGATGTTTGTCTGCTCTGATAGAGTTTTTGGTCAACAAACAGCTTTCACCAAATCTTTGATTTATACAGAGGGGTGTCTAAAAAGAAATACTGACTAGCGAACAACTCTTTCAGATGGTGGCTGCTGTGAGTTCTTGTGAAAGCAGTCGCCGTTGCCAGGCACTGGAAAGAGTTCAATTGCATTTTTGTAGCCCAAGGCTAAACAGAAAACTATATCACTGTTGCTAATCACGAAAGTCAATGAGCAATGAGGAAAACCAATCAAAAATCGAGTTGCACTATATTCAGCTTATTTCACTCGCATAATTGGGTTTAGATCACCGTCCACGTTTTATTCAGCTCGGGCGTTTGAAACCTAGCAGTTTGTTCTTTATTAGTTTCGTTGTACTAAAGAAAGAAGCTGAAACTAAAAGAAGGCCGGCCATTCATCCATCTCCTGCAGATTTCCTTTGCACTTTAGATACCGCGCCATCGGTGGTTAATATTGATGAAATTATGACGAAAGGTAGGTACAATCTCACATGATTTTATATCATACAGAACGCCGTTGATGGTCACTTTGATGGCTAATTTAAAAACAAAAAGTAGGATTTAAGGATTTTCCTAGAAGCCGTGAGCAGCATGCTGCTCAGACAAGGATATACATTTCAAGCGGTTAATTTTTGATGCGTAGCTGATGGTGGGCTCGAGCAGTCAACTTAGGAGTGCGCGTAATTAATTGGGAAAAAAAATAATTAATCTTTCACAAATTTCGCCTTTGAATATCAGTAATAACTGGTCGTTGCACATCGAGGGAAACAGAGACGGCAAACATTCCACCACTCAATATGACTGAATTTTCGTGCTCGAATTGCATAAATAACAATTCGGAGCACTTTCCTTTTGAAGGATCGAAAAGACATTAACAACCCGAGGCGGTGTAAACAAAAACAGGTACAGATAAAGTTATACAAATTAGCGCCTTCTTCTTAATTGCAGTTACACATTACGTGTACTATGTGGTTTGTTGGTTGGGTTTATTCTATTCTAACGTTTAGTTTTATTTTGGAATCTATTCCTATATGAGCTTTCGTTTTTTCAGCCATTTGTATTATTTTATTCTATCATGTCTTGAAATAACATACGCGGTAGTAATATACGTATTAAAAAACGAAACGAAACGAAACAATTAAATAGAACTCTACTAAAGGCAATGGACACAAATCATCGTCACTCGTGAAGTGATGTCAAAAACAGTCGCCGCTGTAGAGTTTTAAACCTAAACAATATTAAATGCGTGAACTCAAGCTACAGAAAAAAAGAAAAATACTAACAATGAGACAACAGTGATGTAGTCATGATGTTCAGAATTCACACTAAGCACGAATCATCGAAACTAAAAGCGGAAATAAAATGATGTAAAGACAAGAGAACGGGCAAAATATTTATGCAATGAATTTTAAAAATAACTGCTGTCTTTTAAATCTCAATTTCTTTTACTAACTACACTAAATTAAATAAACCGTCTGAAAGAAAATGGTCAAAGATGTTAATTTTTGTTTTTCTTTTACGCCGTAGGAGTTCTCTGTAAGGCGGTTTCTTGATGTCACGGGTGGGGGAGGCTCTGGGAGACCTTGCCGTCGTTCGCATTTTCTTATTTAAAGAACCCCGTTAATACGGCCGGAATTTTGTGGTGCGTTGCTGACCGGATTAACGGCATTCCACTGTATTCAAACAATTCAACTTCCTAAATATGCGATCATCAAACACGAGAGTCAGATAGGGTTATGTTTTCCAATTTTGAAACCGTACTAGTTTCAATTTTATACAGCGTGACATCTAAGCGTTTCTATTGACTCGTAATCGTTTCAGCCTAATGGCCTGTCGATCAGCTTATAAGCTGTACACATATGAAATGAGAAAATGATTTTTCGTGTACAGCAAGTTACTTATCAGTTGACATGCAGCCTTAAAACGTCGACTAAACTCGAGACGTCCCTGGTGAGAACTGAACCAAATAATAATCATTTACGATCCGAGTGACGAGAAAGCAAGATTTAATGATCACGAATTGACCAGCAAAAAGATGAATTATAATCCAAAACTTAACATATTGTTCAGAAGGAGGGGGGGGGGAGACTTTTCCGCTCCTTATTTACTTTAAATGGTTGAACCTTTGAAAGCATTGAAGAACTGAACTTCACTGATTGACTGACTTTTTCCAAAATTTATCTGGCAAGACTTTGGTGGGACATACTATAGACCCTACTCATAAATGGCCGCCATTTTAATATTATTTTGTATGCATCAGTTTAAATTAACCCAACTGACCTCGTTTGAGAGTGAAAGTTCTTTTGAATTATCAACTCAAAAACGAGTTTAGTTGGGTAAACTTTAATAATTACAAAAGAGTTTTTAAATAGCAGCCATTTATGAATAGGCCGGGTCTATTGGTCGAAGATCTGGATGTCTCATGGCAACCTTACTTTGACAGGCATGTTTTTTCAAATTTCGAATTTAATTCCGTTGAATTAAATGAATTTCTCTTTACTTTCTTGTAGTAACTTCATTTCTAAAGATAATTTTAGCTTTTGTTATCAGTTTTGACAAGAGGCCATGACCTTGATCATAGTTTTGATGGTTTGACCATTTTTGGCGGTTTGCGAACGTTTTGTAAAAATCATAAGATCCCATGATAAATCCAAGATGGCGCCTGTTCAGAATTTATAACGTTTTTTGGACCGGCTTTACATCCTCAAAAATTGATAGCCATAGCGTTAATATTCTTAACAGTTACAGGGTAAGGGACTCAAAGCCTCTACATTCTCCACAGGCTTTTTTTTTCCTGAGCCCAAAGAGCGATTGGAATCCGGAGACCGGGAGTGAGCGAGAAAGCGCTTTTATTATCGCGCAGTTGACTGGGCACGAGGCAGCCAAAGTCCCCCATTTCCGTGCCAGAGGACAAAAAAAAAAACCGGCCTGAGATATTAGAAATCAGAAGTAACCATTTCAGCTTCTTCTAAATGAAATCATACTTATAAGGAGCACGCTCTCCGATTTTCAAGGAAAGCCACAGTGTAGAATCCTTTGCCGACTAAATCACTCTGGTAGAACCATTTTCGCTAACTTAACGGCAGTTTCGTCCAGGGTTTGCAAATGAAGACAAATAAAAGTGCAATATTATCTTGCTGCGTGTAAAATAATACCGGTTCTATCTCTTGTGTTGTGATCGATGATACCACTCCTTTTCAGTTAATGCAATAAAAACGCTATCAAACAACTCTCAATCAATGATACAGAAGTTGTGGCCGGGCCATGCATTTCCGTGACGCAAAAGAATATGTACCAGAATAGCGCGATCACAAATGTGGGTTACCCAACTCCTCTCTGAGTTATCAGCATTTAAACCTAAATTTAAGGTGACTCTCACAGGGTCGTACGTTGAACTGAAATGAAATGGTATAGTCTTGATCTGGCTAGCAACGGTAGATAATATGTAATTGGAAATCTTCGTGTGCTGAAATATTCGTAAGATATCAGCTCTCTTTTTCTATGGAAATTCAGTGAAATCCTATAGCATGTGTTTTTGAAAAGATTGTGATCAAGTGTTTAGTGAAGGGAAGCATTGTACCGTGAACGTAATCGTAAATAACCGGTAGAACGCAACAGCGGATAAACAAATGAAGCGTTTAAACAAGTGATCACAATAGCTGTGAAGTGTCGGGCCTTCGAGGCGCTGAACGAAAAGAGGTGCAGTGAAAAATACTAATCGTAATTAATATTCCAGGTGCATTCTCCAATCTGGATTAAATTGCTTGAGGTTGCCGTGTTGGACAGATGCTACAAAGATGGTGAAAAATATCTCGTTCTGATCGACAAGATAAAAACACCTTGAACGAGACTCATTAATAATATTGCGAATTATAAACTGAAAACCGTAGAAAGTTTCGACGATGGATTTTGGCACAGAAACATTGGATTCGTCCTCCACGGATCTCCAGAGCGATCAAGCGAACAAGAGAAAGGCGTTCTCTTCTAAAGAAGGAGAGCAAACGATTCATACATATGTCTTTGGCGTGTTTGGCTTCATCCTACAAATTTTCTTCTCTATCGGAATTTCAGCATCTCAAGACATCTTGGAAGAAACGTTGGTTCCCACTCCAGTTGTTTTAATCTCTGCCTCGCTACCTTTCTCCTTCATCACTTCCATTCTCCCATATTTCGTTCTCAAGCTGGCGCAGGAAGTTCTCTTGGTACCAATAGTGTTCCTGAGTATCACCGGTGTGTTGCTATACGCCTTGGTCGAACATGTGGTTCTTCGTGTAACAGGTGTGATTGTTGTCTCAACCGGAATAGCCATTGGAGAAGTGACGTTCGTGGCGATGACAGCGCTTTACAGCGACGCCGCAATGAGTTCTTATGCTACGGGCACAGGGATAGGATTTGTCATTGGGCCTCTGTACTATGCAGGTAAGAAATAACTGACAAAGGTTGAGATTTTAAACGAAATCTTGACGCCAAAAGCCTAATTCAGATTGTACGGTCATGGCTGAAATATTTTGCATTCTATTGACGCACGAAACTTGCCCATAATTTTTGATTGAGCTGCTCAAGTTGTGCGCGGTTTGGCGCCATAAAGACATTATCATCGTTCATGATCAGTTGTAAGTCATGGTGGTCGGTTTAGTTTTTATCGTTTCAAGGTAAAAAAAAAGCATATATTTTTTTTGACCATATATTTTTATCTGTTAGGTTTTAAACCGTTTCGCATCAGCACACACATAGCGGAAAAAGTTTCAATTAATATCATGACTTTAAACTGAACTGCTTAACAAAAATTTGCATATTGTTCAAGGAATCTGGCTATCTTTTAAGGATAAAAGCCGAGAATGATTTTCCATTCGACTAATTTAAAAGCACATCAGGACCTACAAATTCCAGTCAACTTGCCATCTTTTTGTTTTATTGTACTCGCCATCTCTATCGATGATCAATGCAATTCTCGTGATCAGGGCTCTGTTAATAGTGTTTTTATTTTCCACCTTACTGTTTTCGAACCAAACATACTGAATTTCGCGGGTCGATGCAGCGCGTCAGTGATTTAGCAGGTGGCGTTATAAAGTCCCTACCAGTCCCCACGCATGACTAAGTGAGGAAAGACATTGGAAACGAAGATGGAAATCCAGAGTGACCGTAAACTTTAATCAGTTTGGTTGCGTAGTGGCACAACAGAAGTGTGACATCTTTCTCAGTGCGAGACTTGTGGCGAAATGAGTTCCTGGGCAGACGGACCCTCAAGACCTTAGTCTGGAACTAAAAATTTAAACACTTTAAGTTTGATCAATCAACAACTCGAGTAAAATTTAAAGTAAAGAAAAAAGAAATATCGATGTTAAAAGATCATTTGTAAAACATTTTCTTCAGATTTTTATATCTCGCGCCATCCATTGCTACGTATTCATAGTGTAATGTAATTTATATCGCTACAAAACTGCGAAAATGATGAAAGCGAAAACTTGAAATGCACCAGAATCCATCATTTGAGGCGTGCCGTCGGCTATTTTTAGGTACCACTGCACTGAAAAATTTCTGAAGAATGACTGATATAAAGTTTGTCTTCTTGCCTATTGTTTCTCTGTTTTATTTTTCAAATTCGTCCTCTAAGCCGCTACCAGACTATGTACCTCTGTGGAAGTGAGCACGATTTTCAAACTCTAACAAGAAACGACTAGCATCTCGTGAACGCGATATAACTATTCAACTATTTATTTCAAATGATAATAAAATCATGAACTTTCTCCTTCCTTTTCACAGCAATGACAACCATAATTTGCGTGCCTCCAGAAACAACTCTTCTTATCATCTCCTGGGTGCCTGTAGTGATCTTTCCTTTTTACGCTGTCTTGGAAAAGAGGCAGTTTAAACCTGCACAAGACGCTACAACGCACAAAGATGTGGCTTACACTTCACTTAATCTAAAGACTGAACAAGAGGAAGGAAAGTCAATGTGGAGTGAAAAAAGAACTTTAATCTGGCGAAATCTTCCGCTAATGATAGCATGTTTCTTCGGATATTTCGCCGAGTTTTTGACCCTTAATGGCGTCGTCACATCACTGGCCTTCCCTAACTCACCTTTCGACCCGAGGAACCATTTTGTTTACTACGCATGCGCGTTTATGATCGGCGAATTCATCGGCAGATCCTACATAACTCTTCTGCTCCTGTTGAACTCCAAATGCACGCCGGTTATAACGAAAACTTGGACTTTATCGACAGTGCTTTTGAGCTTGTTTATCTTTTTAACTTTTGCCTCATGGTATCGCTTTCTTCACAGTGTATGGGTTGTGTTATTGTTGATATTTATTGTGGGTCTTTTGGCGGGAAGTTTGTACCTGAACACCTTTCTCATGGCGGTAGGCAGCGAAGATGTCAAAGGCAAGGCTTTTTCGCGCGCTTTTCTTTCGGTCGGACCCAGTACCGGCGTCTTAGTCGCCGGTTTAGTCGGACTGGTACTGGAACCAACCCTGAGGGAACATTGTCTCCAGTCAGCTGAATTTAGTGATTTCTGTTTTACAAGAGCTATTGGTGGATGGAATAGAACTACATCGTGTTTGCGGTAACCGAGGAAGGTCATAAATAACAAGATTGAATTGTAAAGAAATTGCTATGTTGCATCGACAGAAAGGTGAAAATTAACCCATGTGAACTTGAATGCCCGCCCTGCCAAGTTTTTGAAAGCCGACTTTTCGGGCATTAGCTCTTCTGGGTTTTAGCCCGAGCAATCGACTGTTTATAATTACTCAGTATTGAGATAACTAAGATTAATTAACCAAACATGAAAAGGTGTATTACAATCAACGCAACAGAAATAAAACACATATACATGTTACTGAAATCAGGCTGCGAACTTATTTTTGGAGTTAAATTTCTAGGACTTTTCAAGGACATTCCAGAAGATAAATTCTAATTTTTCGAGGACGCTACCCACTTAAAAAGTACCATTAATAAAATTTGATACTAGATTATGTGCTTAGATTTAAGTCCAGGATACCCGCAAGATTTGTTTTCATTTTGTTGTGTTTTGTTGTTTCTTTTTCAAGTCATTTCTAGTTTCATAGTAAATGGTTTGAACCCAGGAGTATCAGTAGTTCGTATAGTGTGATCGTCCGGGTGAGTGTAGTTCTGAAAAGAACTGTTGCTGGTGACTGACGTTTCGACAACCTGAGCGNTCTCAACGTCACCATTTTGAAAGTACGGCAACACCCGGACACATTCCTCATGCTCAGCTTCAAATGTGATTGCTGCATTCCAGATGACACGCTCATCAACTAAAGTGAAAAATAAGGGAAAGAAAAATACCATTAATTACCACTTCACCCTATGTATTTTGGTAAGAAGATAACACTGTCGTAAATTGTTGAGTTGTGCATAAAGAAAACGTTTGATAGTAAATGGTTTGAACCCAGGAGTATCAGTAGTTCGTATAGTGTGATCGTCCGGGTGAGTGTAGTTCTGAAAAGAACTGTTGCTGGTGACTGACGTTTCGACAACCTGAGCGGAATAAAATATATAGATTCAGCCAAGCCTAAAAGCGAAGCTTCTGGGACGGGTTGTTCAAAGACCGAGTAAGCTAACCTAGGATAAGCGAGAATTGTGATTTGGGTTTTCTAACTTTGCGGTGAGGTTTTCTGTATGTTGTTTGGCCTTCTGTTTTGAGTTTGAATAATCTCAAACTACACAAAAAAGGCAGAAAAAAGAAAAATGTCGAGGAAAAGGTACGCGCGGGTACGTGCGCCTAACGACGAAAAACGACGTCACGCAACATGGCGGCTATACTCCAGCTAATGAGTTGACCGAGGCATGCAGCCATATACAGCGTACATATTTGATATTGGACATCCATGTTACGGTCAATTGACACCTGTTAAATCAAAGTATGCGCTGACCAGTATCACGTGACCATACCGCAGGCTCGGGTTTAGAGCTTATCGAAGTCATGTGTCTTTTTGAAGTTGGCCGCTGATCAAATGTTGGTTTTTCATTGGATCGTGGGCTCATGTAAGGTTGGGTTGTTCGGAAACCGGTTAACGACAACCCAAAATTAAAAGTTAACCGAAGTATAAATTTTTCTTTTTGATAATGGGTATTATCGTTTGTCACACGATGTAGTCACTTGAGATGTAGATCGCGACGTTTCGACTGCTTACTGCTAGTCTTCTTCAGGCGATAAGGTCAACTGATNGTCAGTATAGCCATGATGGTATTGGCTGAAAGACTCGTGTAAAGTTTGTCATCAGTCATTGGTGGGTTTCGATCCGTCTATTGTTGGCCAAATAGGTCGGTTTTTAGTCCGTGTATTGTTAAGTCGGTCTGTTAGAAGTCCGTTTGTCGGTTTCGTTTCCGCCTTGGATAAGTCATTTGTAATTAAGGCGCCGGTAGTTGTTGACATCTGTTAACAGGCGTTTGTTCTAAGTTAGTGTACCAGCTTTCCAGAGTCAGTGGTTGAAAATTGTTTGTACTGTAGGTTAAGCACTGAGCAGAGTCCCAGACAATGCTGTGGTTTGTCAGTTGATGATGTACAGCAATGTGATTGTTGGCATTACCATTTCTCGTGGCTCGTTTATGTTCAGTCAGTCTCGTGTTAAGGTTTCTGCCAGTCTCACCAAAGTAGGAAGCCTGGCAGTCGGAGCATTTGATCTTGTCAACAACTACCGGCGCCTTACAAACGACTTATCCATGACGGAAACGAAACCGACAAACGGACTTCTAACAGACCGACTTAACAATACACGGAC